TCTGTCTGTCTGTCTGTCTGTCTGTCTGTCTGTCTGTCTGTCTGTCTGTCTGTCTGTCTGTCTGTCTGTCTGTCTGTCTGTCTTTTTGTTTACGTGTTGGTTTGTTTTGTGTTTTTTGTGGATTTTAGTGTCTACCTAAACAAATCATCAGGGTAAAATGTGGTTAGAACTCCGCTTTTTATTAGAATGTTCACCTCCGCGTCCTATGTCATCTGCAGGCCTACTGGCACCGCTTTGTTAAACAGAAACAGTTGTGTCATTATAATATCGAATCAGACTCTCGGCACTTTAGGGGCATATGGAGTTGTTGGTATCACCTTAAAGCATGTTCATTGTTTTGCCTTTTATGAAAAAACCCCCACCCTCTTACCTTGGAAACTAGTCAAGATATTTGTGATCAAAGAAAATGGATGTGGGTGGTTGGCGGGTGCTCTGGTGTGGTTTGCTTTTTCTTTCCTATCAAACATCTATCGTCTTTATCTCCCCTTCTTCTTTTTATGTTTGTTACTCTCTTGTAACAACTCTAATCTTCTGGCGCTCATATGACCTTATGCAGTTGCGAGCACCGTAAAACCTCTACTAAAACTAAAAAAACTAAAGCTAGAAAGAAAATGGAGGTCGTGTGGTATCGGAGGTGAAATTAGCCAGAAAATTACGCAAAAGTTTAGTAGCTTTCAAAGTTTTAAAGTCCTTGGAAACGGTAAATTTGCTCTTTTTGTGCATTTTACCAATTTCCCAGCAGAAATATGTTTTAAAAAAATAAATAAACGGTGTTGAGCAAAAAATAAAAAAAGAAATGAAAAAAGAAATCAATATAAATTTCGTAACGAACAGAATAATGTCGGTTCCCTTGATTGCGTTATTTTGATGAGCTCCTGATTTCATCATAATGCCACACAATAATTTAAGAATAATTCTATGGCAGTTGTGTTTAGCTCTCGGGATGTACAGCAATGACGTAGATAAAGTAGAGGAAGGATTAAATTCGTGAAGAATGAGGACTTAAAAATGAACTTAATGTCGAAATAACCATTTAAAATTAGACAAAAGGAAAGCCTGAAGAAAGGCAACAAAATTTCTTTGAACTCAAGAGAGTATTCGTGTTTACATCGTGTGGATAGTTGTCCAATCAATGTCACCGAAGTGGAAAAGGGCTGCGTGACCAGAAGAAGAAGAAGAAGAAGAAGAAGAAGAAGAAGAAGAAGAAGAAGAAGAAGAAGAAGAAGAAGAAGAAGAAGAAGAAGAAGTAGAAGTATAAGAAAAAGAAGAAGAAGACGAAGACGAAGAAGAAGAAGAAGAAGAAGAAGAAGAAGAAGAAGAAGAAGAAGAAGAAGAAGAAGAAGAAGAAGAAGAAGA